CCCGCGGGCGGACCGGGCACCCCGCGGCCGCGCAGACACCCCGGCTGCCAGCCCGAGCCCCGGCGAGCCCCCGCGGGCGTGTGCGGAGCGAGCGCGGAGCGCCGTGCGGTCAGAGGGACCGGGCATGGGCATCCCCATCGCTCCGGCAGCCTCGGGATGGGCTCACCTCGCAGGGGAGAAAGCTCCTGCGTTCCGAACAGCTCTGTCTGTGAGGGGAGGAGGAGGCAGAAGCCGAGGTTTGGGGAGCAGAAACACGGTTTGTGCTCCGGCAGCCTTTCTGGTATATTTACAAGAGATCCCCTCCTGTTCTGTGCCTTCCAGCTGCCCACCTCAAAAGGCCAGTTCTAACCTAATTCGAAAGGGGGTGTGAGGGAAGGCAGTAGCGTGGCATTTACTGCCCGGTGCAGTGATGTCTGTACCCTGCTCGGGATCATTTTCCTGTTAGAATGTCACCGATGGAGGGAAAGACACAAGCTCCCTCTCCAGAAACTACAGTTACTGAGGTGTTCATGTGTGAGCCCTAAAGCCAAACTCCACCCAGCCTCCTGCTCATCTTCAACCCGCTGAAATCTGTTGAGTAACAAAGTGTATTTCGGTAATAGCCTTGTTTTCAAACCCACAGAGGATTTACTCCGGTGTTTTACTGCATCTCTCCACTGGCATAAAGATACTGTGCAGGTAGGGTCAATGGGGCATCTTGTTTTTTTCCTTGTAATTCACTTCAGGCCTTCCAGGGAATTGCTAAGTAACTCTGAGTAATTAAAAAAGTCATTCCCATTTATTTTCTGGCATGGACACTGGGCAGAATGTGTGACATCATTACCCATCCATGGCAACAAGCTATTGTGAACCAGTAGGGCTTCAGCAGTAGGATCAGTTAAAAGGAACATTTTCCTTGAGAGACAGTGTTTAAATAAACACAGTAATCATGACACTACAGACCACATTTTGCTCTGCAAAACTACTGAAAGGTGTATATGGCTGGGAATATAATTGTCTTTATATTCAGGAATACACTGTTAAGCAGCCACAGCATCATTCTGAGCTCTTGCCATCTATTTCTCACATGTCCAAGTTGTATCTGTAAGCTGTGAAAATGCCTCTGTAGTTCCACAAACCAGGCAGCTGCTACCTCCCTGTAATTGCAATGTTTGGGTGATACAAAGTTAATGAAGCAAAGTGAAATGTTTTGTTAGACTAACTAATGCAGGGAGACAAAATGAGCAAGCCTTGGGGCACGATCTTAACTGGGATCCCAAGCTTGTCTCTTTTTTTCCAACTACATTTGCAGAGTTACTTGAAAGTTTAAATTAGCCCCACAATACCATGTCTTAGACAGAGGTTTTATCAGTTCTCTTCTCATAAATCTGAACCAGAGGCACTCATACTCCTGAATCATCACTCCCCTGCAATGATCTGCCACTGTCATCTCCCAGTTAAATCCAAGGGAAAGCAAAGGGTGTAAAACTGGAGGAACATTCAACCCAGTTGGATACCAGCTGTTAATCAGGAATGAGATGCTTATCAGTGATACTCTGTGTCTTGGAGAGGTTTTGTTCTGATCTTGGGGCCCACGAAGTTTGTACATGTGCTTATTTTTAGAAACTTTATTAAATAATCTATTTCAGCCATCGAGATGTGTGGAGGTCCTTGTAGACTCTGTCTAGACTTACTTTACAGTAAACCAAAATTAGAGCCTACTAACCCCAGGTCCTTTTTTGACCAGGCTGATGACAAACATTTATATCAATAGTAAATCAACTCTACATAAAGGTTTCATTTCCACATCACCATAATTTTTTAGGCATTTATTGCCATGCTAAGGAACAAATAATTCCTGCAAAGTCATAAAACTAAAAACATAGTTTACAAAACAATTTATTGTATTCATTGGGAAATATTTATAATGAAAGGAAAAAGCCAGTAGTGCAAATTATTTTCTCTAGAAACTCAATTTTAATTTCCTGAGATCTCTGAATGTTAAACTAGGATCTATAGCGTTAAAGATTCAAAATTTTAATCTAGGCTTAGCTTTATGGAGAAGGAACACTTTGCTTTGCATAGACTAGGTGTTGGTTACATCTGCCAAAGTCAATCTGCTGCTCAGAACAACAAAGATAATTCAGAATATGCTCTCAAAGTTGCAGTCCAATTATTAGTCCCCAGAGTGTGATGCAGCAAAAGTATCAGCCTCTTCCAGCCTGAGCAGGGCAAAGCTTGTGTAACTTTTACCCTCCCTGTTCTGCTTGCAGGGTTACCTGGGTGGTGGAGGATTCAGAGGGCATTGTGTTCTGGGAATCACCAGGTTTGCTTCCCAGGACTTTTCCTGGGTAAAATTCATCTCCAGGGCAGTTTTAACTCAACTGTTCTGAACCTGTGCTGTTCAGGTGCAGCAGAATCCCACTGAATTCCTCAATTTTCCCCAGTGTTTCTTTATTTCATATCCTCTCCCAGTCTGTATTTGTGAAGAGTTTACAAATAATCTACTAGAAGTAGATTATTTGTAAACTGAAGAAGGGAGGGATTCACACAATGTTTATCCACCTGACTGTAGGAAAGCCAGCCAGTGCAAGTGTGCACCAATGACTGTAATTAACTGCTGCCATGGCAACAAACACACTCAACACATCTAATTTCATTCACAATCCTCTTCCAGGAAATATCACATTTTTTTTTTCTCCTGTTTTTTGTTTTGTTTTGGTTTGGTTTGGTTTTGTTGTTTTTGTTCTTTTTGTTGAAGAATTAAATTCAAAGGCAGTTTTACCATTCAGCCTTCCAGTAAAGCTAATGGGATTCTGGAGTTTATTGTTCTTTTAAACTTACCACAACAACTTCCCCTGTGGCTCAAAAGAGAAAAGCTGTTAGACAATATACACTATTACAATTTTCAGATTCAATGCCCTTGGAAATTAGTAACTATTGCTGGTTGATCTGAGGTTTGGCTATTCCTTCTCAGATTTAATATTTTCATCGTGCACTTGTACACATCCAGTTTTGAAGAGTCACAACCCACAATGAATTTAAAAAAGGACTGACCAGTCATAATTTATCTCTGATGAGAGACTACAAGACATACAATGTCCTGCCTCTTATTCAGTATTACCTGATCTGCCAAAAAAACCCCATGGAGTGTCAGCTCATGACACTGAATTCAAAGGGGGATTGCAGGAGGGACACGCCTGAAGCAATCAGCACAGCCAACTTCTTAGTACTTGGTCAGCGGATTAAACTGGCCCAATTCATCATTCCAAACAAGCAATTAAACCTTGGTAAAGTTGTCTGGCATGTGAGGTAAATTTAAACAAATTTCTAGGTCACATGGCTGTGAGGAAGACAGGAAATGCAACTTAGGTGCATCCTTAAAAAAGAGGTGAATCTTAGGAATTTGCTGCCGAAGCCCTCTTGTGTGTAGTACAGAAACTGCAGCTCCCTAAACAATTTTCATTATCACCCACGTTATAACATCTGTAGCCACAGATCTTCTGCAGCCACGAGATATTCCTGTTTTGCCCAAATATTATGCATATGTGAAATGAGGTATCATTTTTCTCTACTTTTCTTAGAAAAGCAATTGCAGTAGCTCCATTTCTCACGTAATGAAACTTTGTGTTTTAAAGTCCCCATATAATGGACATTTTTAGCTACTCCTCTAATGACACTAAGCCTGTGTACCAGTAAGTGCCTCTTGCTGCAGACCAGTGAGATTTTGTGACAATCACAATCTGCTTTGCCTGCTTAGTACTCCACAGCAGTGAGGAGCATGCCAGCAGAGAGAGACACTGCAGTAATAATTTATGTGGCAGTATATCACCACAGGAAGTAAAATAATGTTCTGCTCTTTCACAGGAGACAGATAAAAGGAGGACAAATCTCCAAAGTATTTTTGTCAGATATCCATCCAATAAAATTCCCTGCAGAAACTGCAATGAGATATTTGGATGGCTTCTGTGTTTTCCATTTCATTGCCACTCAAAACACTTGACCGTAAAAATAGGGAAAGATTATTTAATTATTTTAATAATTATTTAGTAATTCTTAGCCTTTGTTGAGGGAGGCAGATGATGAGACATCTAGAATTAGATACAGACTATGCTACTACATTCCAAGGTTTTTAATCATTGACTAATACTTCCTACTCCTCAAGAAAAATACAAGGATCATCTATAGCAATTGACATTAGCATCGTATTTTAATGAAGTAATTAATGTGTGAATACCCACTGTTGAACAAGATTCTCCTGCTGAAAGATAAAACAACTTCAGCAGCGCCAGCAGACTTGCCAAGGAGGTGAACTAGAACACAGATGGGAGTTTGGAGCACAGCTCTGTCTGTGATTTTGCAGAGGGCTGCTCAGTGTCCAGCTGCTGAGCTGCCCTGTGCCCCCACACCATTGACCACACAGCCCAGGGCCAGACCAGCTGCCAGCTCCCACCGCAGACGAGCTCAGCTGGGAAAAAAAACCTAAACGACCTAAAACACCATGGTCCAAAACGCAGATACTAAAATCTGGTGGTCTAATCCTGTTAGGCAAACTCCTGTTGTTAAAGCCTCCCAAAGACTCTGGTTATGATGTTTCCACTCAATTATTAACTCAGTCTTGTTTATTTCACCTGGTTTATACATAATTAAAAACTCTTCAGAGTTAAGCAACTAAACTCCCTAAACAAGTGAACAGCTGTGCTCCAGCTGATCTTACAGCGGTACTGGAATACTGACATCTCGACTGAGGAAGAAACGCCTATTTGCCTCCGCAGCGGTTTTCCCACTTTGTTTTCAAGCCGTTTGTAGATTTTGCATGGCATTACAGACGAACCGAGAGAGGGCAGTGATGCTAGAATCACTTAACAAGTGAACACGCGAGTAGGAAAGGCGTGTGTAACTCCGAGCAAGTCCCGCGGGTGCCCCAGCGCAAGGCCGGCGCTGCCCTGGCCGCCTCCCCGGCAGGCTCTGAGCGGGGTTTGGAGCCGGGCAGCTCTCTCACACACACACACAGGAGAGCCCCGAGCACCGCGGGCACCGCACGACCCGCAGCCACCGCGGGCGCCGGGCAGCGGCGTCAGCGGAAGGAGCCGGGAGGAGCCGAGCCGGGAGAGCGACACCGGCAGGGCCGGAGCGGCCGGGAGAGGCGGGACCCGAGCCGGGAGCAGCGGGAGAGGTGGGATCTGAGCCGGGGAAGGGGGAGAGCCGCCGGGGGAACGCGGGACCTGAGCGGGGAGAAGCGGGACGGGCATGGTCCGGGCGGGAAGACGCGGATCCTGCCGGGGGACGTGGGTCCTGCCGGGGGACGCGGGACAAGCGTGTCTCACCGTGGGGACACGGGACAGGCAGTGTCCGGAGGGATGCGGGACAGGCGGGTCCCACCATGGGATCAGGAGGGTCCCACCGTGAGGACAGGCGGGTGCCACTGTGGGGACAGGCGGGTGTCCCCCCCGCGCTCCCGCGGCCGCACTGAGCCCCGCGGAGCCCGGCCCGGCCTTGCTGAGCCCCGCGGAGCCCGGCCCGGCCGCGCCGAGCCCCGTGAGGCTCCGGCGGGCCCCGCGGCCCTCCCACAGCGCCGGGCACTGCCGGCAGGGCTCCGCTGGCTCCCGTGCCCAGCCCCGCCGGGACAAGGTGGGTTTGGAGCGGGCAGAGCTCACAGACTGCCCAGCCACAGATGCAGACTGCCTCTGCAGCATGGAGTGTTGTCAGTGTGGGTGGGTGTGATGGTCCGGCAGGCTACTGAGTTACCGCGGGTCTGGAGCGTCTCTCTTAGGAGGAAAGGCTGAAGTTGAGGAGAGATTACTGAGGGGGGCCTTTTTAATGTGTGTAAACATCAAAGGGAGGGCTCAGAGCCGAGGCCGGGCTCTGCTCCCTGGGGCCCAGCAATGGGGCAGGAGCAAAGGGCAGGAGCTGATGCCCAGGAAGCTCCACCTGAACGTGAAAAAGAACTTCCCTGTGAGACACCGAGCCCTGGGACAGATTGCCCACAGAGAGTGTGGAGTCTCCCTCGCTGGAGACACTCCAGAACCATCTGGAGATGATACTGTGCTCCAGAATGACCTGCCTGAGGAGGGAGGTGGGAGCAGATGAGCCACTGTGGTCCCTTCCAGCCTTCTGAACCATTCAGTGATCTTGTTCAAGCACAACTGCACAATAGCAAATTTAGCATAACCATTCAAGACGTTAAGGCTAACATAAGTGGCCTTATTCCCTTTGAAGACCTTGATTAGGCATTGTAATTCTGTGCAGTCATGGTAACATTTGGTTTTTTTCAGGAGAGGTTGTTTGTAACACAAGCAAATGAGAAGCTCTTCCTAAAATACACAGTGGCTGCCACTGAACTACTAACAGTTATGTATTTGAGGATTGTGTAAAAGAGAGCCTTGGAGCATTGCTACTTTATTGAACAGTGTCATCTGACTTTTGTCTTCTGAAATGCTGCTGGAGCAATGTTCAGACAGTGTCAGGCTACCACCAAAGCCTGCCTGTGTTTGGTTTTAGGTTGAATGTCCTGATGTTGTCTTGGAGCGTGGTGGAGCTTGCACGACCACACCTTCTCAGAAATGATATCCTGAGTTTCCCTTGGTGAGCAGAACTGTTACTGGACGCCTGTAAATGGGAGAGAATGGAATCCCTTTGTGGCAGCATCAGGGGCTGTTTGAACACTGCAGGTGTTCCTCTCACCAGCTCCCCATGGTAGATTTAGCAGAGAAGGAGATGGATAACCCCACGTTCAGAAGTGACACTGTGCTGTCTGATGTCCACTTGCACTGCCCAAGCAAAAGACACCTCATGGTACGACTGAATGCAGTTGGACAGCCAGGTAATGGATGCTGCCTGATGGAGGGAGCTGTGTTTTAACTGTACTCAGATCTTTGGGAGGCTGAATCCTCCTCTAAGTGGTTGATATTAATGGTTACATATTTTATGCCAGTTATAAGCAGAATCACCTCCTACTCAGTCTTTAGGAAGAGGGCTAGCTGTGTTCTCCTCCTGAAATTAACTCCAGCAATGAAATCTTGTAGACAGCTTGTCCTAAAAATTAAACAAAAGTAACAAAAAGTAACCAAATTTACTCACTTGCAGGTTTAATTTAAGGGTTCATTGAGCAATATTGTCAATACAGCACATTGGGAATCATGATTTAAAATAAGGTTGTGATGTTTCTTACACACAAAAGGTGAGAACTCAGGGGTTTTAAATAGTGTAACTTCAGCAATTAATGTATCAAGTTTAATTAAATGTTTATGTGATGATTTACTATCAATTCCAGAGGAGCATAACAGCTTGCTTTCTTTAGGCTATGTGGTGGGGTTTCTTTGGTTTTGATTCTTTTCTGTTGGTGGGGTTGATTTTTATTTTTTTTTTGTGGCGCTTCAAAAAAAAATGTCAACAAGAAAACTCAATACAGCAATGGCTTTAACTGACACAGAATTTGAAGAGTCAAGGCTATAGAGGAAATGAGTTGGCAAATGCCCCTGGCTGATTGCCAGCTTGTAGGTTGCTATAAAGTTGTCAAGGGAACTGACCTTGAGGCTGCCAGCAAAATGTTCTGTACAAAAGTCCTGCTGTGACAGAAGTGTTAATTGTTTTTTCAAATCCACTCGTGACATCAAAAGAGTAACTTCTGCAGCTGTTCTGCTGTATGATAATGTGAAAAATTATCAAAGTAGGCCTGACAAGGAAATGAATAATAATTTTGACCCTGTTCAGGTCAAAACGCAGGTAATTAATGCTGTGGTGGGTCTTCATGCTGTTTGATATGTGCTTTCTGTGATTGTGCTTGGTGCAAAGAACCTTTCAGCAGAAGGAAGTGCAGTGTGTTCTGCCTACTTCAGTGAGCTCTGCCTGGGACACTCCTCTGGCTATTGAGACAAGAATTGCATTGTAGCATGACAGCCTTCAATGCCATAACAATCTACTAGGGCCACTTTGCTGTGTTTTGGGGAAGTTTATGAGGATTTAGTCTCTTCCCCTTTAAGTCAGTTTGACTTTCCACCTTTAGAATGCTGTAGAAGTGCAGAGGATCAGAATGGACTTGGAGAACAAAGCATGTCATTCACTGATGGCATCCTCTGTTCCAATTAGTTTCATTTGGTCATTATGCAAACAGCAGAGACCTTAAAAATTTCTCATGCTAGGACAGGCATCGAAGATTTTTTTAGATCTAGCTAAAAATGGTCTCACTAGAGAGGAGCCTCTGTCAGATTTCAGTGGTCCACCTTGGAACATCTAGCCTACTAAAGAAACTGGAATAGAGCTCCATAAATTGTGAAATTGTTGAAAGCAGTGGTGGCAAGCACTTTATCTCTTCCCTTTTCTTGGGAATGAACATAGATGGAAGGACTATGGAATGTCTGTTCTTCCTTATGTGTGGTATTCAGGCAGTACAGATTCTTGTAATTAAAATTGCAAGGTCCATGTTATAATAATTTAAAATTTTAATAGATGCTGATGTCACTGAGTGGTTGTTGTAAAAGATTTTTAATTAATCGGTCATTAAGAATAGCTTCAGTCATTTAATCCCTTTGAATAGTCAGTGTGAACACTTTAAAAAAATTACAGAAGTGTCAGCTTTGCCTCCTGTGCACTTATTTCTGTTCTTATATGCTGAGCCAATTTCAAGGCTTGAAGTTGCTTGAACTCCTAAAGACTTTCAAAGCAACAAACAAAAATTCAACTTGCATTTTACTGGAACATGCTTCTTTCTTGCAAGATAGGAATCTTAACCAAAATAAACAAATTCTAACTTATATTAAATCTGCTTTCAACTTAGTTTGAACTTCTGTGAACAGAACTTTTGGAGGGTGTAAGAAAGCATCCCCTCTGCCAAGAGTTAAAATAAATGTGACTAAATCAGACGAACGTGCCCGTTGTGGCTGTGCAGATGCTGAGTCAGCCAGTGGACTGTGAAAGTGCTTTGTTAGTTTCTGCTGCCAGAACTTAATAACAGAAGTATTTCTTCATAGCAAATAAAACTGTGTCTCAAGTTACTTGTATCATGTTTTACTCTATAGATTTTTCATACATATAATGAATACCAAAATCTCATGCATGTGGAAGTTGTGCACAGGTTCTGCCTCATCTGGTGTTTGACCTTTCCCCCCACACTGTGTTCTTACAGTATTCCTGTCATATTTCAAACTCCTTTGGAGCACAGAAGATTTGGCATCTGGGAAACACGTGAGAGAAATTACCACAGGAAGAGAACATCAGAGCAGAAGTGGAGATCAACTGTGTGACAAGGACAGGAGTAACGTGAAAGAAGAAGGAGAATTAAATAGTGAAGGAGTAGAAGCTCTGCTAGATGATGATGGAGACTTGGAAGTGGTCAGAAGGCCTCGAAGTGCCTCTGATTTGCAAGCAGAGGATCTTTTGAGGGATATAGTGTGCCCTGTAATTCTGATGAAAGGGAAAGAAGATGCTTTTGAAGATGAAGAGCAGGAGTGCACTTGCAGTGATGTTGTTAAAATAGGTAAATAATAAGTTTTCAGCCAGGGAGAAATGTGGCAGATACGTTTCAGTAAAACAAAAGAAAAATAGGTTTGCTTTCAAAATGGAACAGCAGTTTGCTAAGTGAAAGAAAATAATGATCACAATACTGTGATACTGCAAATAAAAATTTACATTTTTTCTCTGGAAGTGATTTGGGCAGTTGTATACCACAGAGAACTCAGTGTTCCTTAGTTAGAGTGGGTGTTTGGCATTAGCCAGCATTCAATAGAATGAAGAGTGTTTAGTTCTGTATTTGAAAGGGAAGCAAAGCCTTAGTTTCAAACCTGCCACTATGGAACTTGATTTGAGCAATTTTGAGATAATTGTTTTCTGTTCTCTCTCATTTCCACAGAACACACCATGGCAACCCCCTTGGAAGACGTTGGTAAACAAGTACGTGTTCTGCCTTGTAGTATCTTGATTTTCATGGAATGTGCTTCAGAGCTGATTCAGTTTTAAGTGCTTCCCTTGTCCCCAGGTCTGGCGTGCTGCCTTCCTTCTGGCTGATTACATTCTCTTTCAAAGGGACACGTTCAGGGGTTGCTCTGTGCTGGAGCTTGGAGGTGGCACTGGAATTACCAGCATTATCATGGGAACAGCTGCCAAGAGAGTTTATTGCACAGGTAAGGCAGTGGCAGTTTTTTCAGTTAAATATTTTCATGAAACTTTACAAAGTCATGCTTTCATCCTGGTATTTTCAGACTCATTTGTTCAGTTATAGTTAATAATTTTTATTAATGCATATCAATTTGTGTTATTTACTGAAAAATAACAGGAACTTTCTCAAGGGGCTGAGAAAGCTCAAGAGTTTAAAAGCAAGATATGTTGCAGTGAAGTCATGATAGTGTGTTCTGATTAAAATAGGTAGTGTATGACTAGATCTTCTTTTTTCAAGGGTTGCTCAGAGAACTGAAAGAGAAAAGGAAGAAGGATACTAGGGGAGCAATCGTCAGTGGACAGAGTTGCTCTGAATTTTCCTGTATCTCATGGGCTTGAGAGAAACTTTGAGTATTAGTCTGAGACGCATACATGGCCCATACAAAATATTCTTGGTTTTAATATCATTATCACTTCTTTTCCAGATGTTGGTGAAGATCTCCTGGCCATGTGTGAGCAAAATGTTGCATTAAACAAACATCTGATGGAGCCAGGAGGTAGGTGTTGTATGGTCAGATTTTGACTCTCTGCTTTAGCCCAGGTGCTGTCTGAAAGGCCATTTGTGACTGATGTAATCTTTGTTCACTCCCAGGAGGGGAAATTAAAGTGAAAGAACTGGATTGGCTGAAAGATGAATTCTGCACTGGTAGGTGCCTATAATGGCTTCTTTTAGGTTGGGTTGGTGTTTGGTGTTACATATTCAAAAGCCTCTCTTGGGCCTCAAAGAAAATTCTGGTTAATGACAATATTTGATACTGCCAGTTGAAAAGGTTTTATGTTTATTAGACTTTCAAATAAAGATTCTTTTAATGAAGAATAAATTTTTTAAAGCATGATAAAAAGGAAGATTAATCAAAACTTATGTAAGGATATAGCTGGGGTTTTGTTTAAAGGTGTGCTTGCTTTAATGTTTTTAAACCTGTGATCTTGCCACAGGATTGTAAATTCTGAAGTGGAAGAAAGCTTTTGCTTGTCAGTCAGCCTTGGGAGGGTTGGACATAACACAAAGAAAGCAGAGGACTGAGACAACTTCAGAAAATGAACAGGGAAAGTTTTGATTTCCGTTGAGTGGTGTGCTCTGTTTATGGAGCAGCAGCTGCCCGCAGGAGCTAGGAAGTTCCTTTTCTCCAGTCATTTGAGACATTTAATCATGTACACCCAATCCATATTCTTTCTTCCAGATCCTGAAGCTCCTTATAGCTGGTCTGAAGAAGAGATTGCTGATTTGCTTGATCACTGTTCTGTGATAATGGCAGCTGATGGTAGGGAAATACAAACAGTAAGCTTTTAAATCAAACACTCAAGCATTGTGAGTAATAATTTAAACATAGCTAGTTTGCTTTTAAAATCTCATAGGTCAGATCATTACCTAATTTGCCAAAACTCTGCCTTAAGTGTTCCTGCCTGTATTTTTCTTTTCTAAACACTTATATTTACATTCTGAATTAGCAATTATGAGAACAGATGTTGCAAGCTGTAGCTCTTCCTTTTCTTTGATGTGTCCTGCTTTCAAAGGAGATCTGGTTATAATGGTAAATTAATTATAGCCTGGTGTGGGTTTTTGAAAGGAAAGAGGCTCTCTACTCTCTATTATCCTGGTTTTTTTAGCTTTGTAGTAAGATTATTTCCAGGCTGAGAGAATTCTTGTCAAAGCTTGTAAATTGTCTGACAAATGATTCCCATTCTGATGAGAGAAAGCTTAAAGAAAGCCTGGCATAAATAGCAGCGGTGGACACTTCAGTAAATTATATCCTTAATTATACATATGCTCCTAATCTTGTTTTTAACAGTGTTCTATGATGATGACCTGACAGATGCCTTGTTCAGAACTCTGTATAGAATCACACACAACTTGAGAAATTCTTGCACAGTTTACTTAGCACTGGAAAAGAGGTGAGTATTACCAAGAACTTAGTATAAAAAGCACTAAAACTTTGTGTGTTTTAATTGAAGGTTGGCTTCTGATTTTCATTGTATCAGATGATCACAGGCTGCAGTATATGCTCAGGATAAGCTCTTATTTTTTTTTACTACATGCTTAATTTTTATCAGTTCAGGATTTGAGTTTAACAGGAGTTTGCCTTTGGTTGTTCTACCTTTGCCTCACCTGAGATACCCTCTGTGCAAACAAGGATAAATAGGTGGCTAGATTGGTATAATGCCTGATAACATTTGCTGTATATTTTTGAGGTCACAGAATGGAATTAAGAGGTTTAGAATTTGGGTATTTATTTCTTAGCTTGAGCAACTCCAGACCAGTTTCTCTTGTTTGCTTTTAAGGAATCAATGAATGTTTCTAAGTAATTGTGTGTTGGAGTCCATTCATAAGCTGATACACAAATAGGCTTTGCTTAAATCTCTAGAGATATGTAAGCAATAACTCTTCCTGTGGTTTGCTGCCAGGTGCTTGTCCAGGAAGCCAAGCCAATGATTCTGTTGTGGCAAAGTGCCCTAAGATCAATGGAAAGGTTCATCCAAGAGTTATTGTGTACTGATGCTGATATAACATCTTTTCTGCTTTTCAGGAATGGGGGGTGTATATTTTTTTGGCTGCTGAAGGGAATGAATTATGCTGAGAAGGGAAGTTACACACCTATATAAGAGGCCAGTATAGGAGAGATGTTCTAAATGAATTACTCTTTTGCCAGGCTGAACTTCACTTTAAGACATATGGATATTACATGTGAAGCTTACAGTCACTTTAGAAATACTCTAAATGATCTAGAGAACCTCCAAGATGGAAAAATGAAATATACAGTGGAGCCCATTAAGCTTGATTTCTGCCAGTTCCTCGTTTATGAACGGATTGAGCAGTTGGTAAGTGGCATTCATGAAAATAAATGTAATGTGTCAGGCTAATCATCTCAAATTAGTTATCAGCTGTTTATGGAACATGAAGGAAGAACAGGAGAATAAGCATTATCTTTCATTTCCACTTAGTTTTTTTTGATTTAAAATGATCCTTGTTTGTGCTTACATAATCTGTACTAGATTGACATGTCCTGGCTTTGGCTGGGACAGAATTGATTTTCTAACAGCAGTAGAGTGGCTGAGATTGCCCTCAGTTCCTCAAAGGATAAGAGACCTTTACTTTGTAAAATGCCATTTTTTGTGACTGTACTGGAAAATGGGACCAATAGCTCTTCTCATTTATTTTCTTGTAGAAGAGCTTTCATTTCACACTTTCAGCAATTCCTTTCCCAGTTCAGAGTTTAGGACATAATGTTCTAATATCTATGAAGAAGTCAATTAGCTGTAAACTTCTGTTATTGAGAAACATGTCAGATATGATATTTCTGGTTATCTAATTACCTCTCAAGAACTTATGGTTCTCATTCTCCATTTTTTTTCCAAATTATCTGCTCTTAGCATTATTATGCAGGATGACTAACAGCTAACAGGCTCCTAGAACAATCCAGTCTAATTAATCTTTTTAGAGGAGATGCAAATCTTGCACTGGATTGCAAATCTGGTACCAAGAAATTGTGTTGTTGTAGTGAACATACTGTGTGTATGTATAGTGAGATGACAGGGGCCACAGTTACTTCATGAGATTGATTTATTTTACTTAATGCTGATACCTTCAGACATAAAACGTGTGTAAAACTTGTTTAAAAGTTTTAAAAGTACACAAAAGTAACCTGGATAATAGATAAATATGTAAACTCATTCCCTGGCTGCTTTGAGGAAAGCTGCTGACCCTTGAAATCTATGCATTTTTAAAATGCTTATGTTTTTATTTATCATTAGGTCTATTGCCACAATTCAACAATGACACGGTGAAGAGTATGTGGTAGTGTGCTTAATCATCCTCTGTGGAGCAGACAAAGCATATGTTAATATATTCTAAAGAAATGAAGTGATTAAGAATTTTTCATCCTTGTTGTCTTTAGGATTGAGAAGGGGGTTTGTGTTTATATAAGCCATGCATTTGTTAGACTTTGATTCCCTAGTAAATTATTTCTTCAGTTGTTTTGGTTTTTTTTTTTACCAGCATTATTGAAACCATTTTTCAACACAGGCTAAGAAAAAGAGCAGGATTATCAGTCAAAATACTTAGGATTAGCAGGATTATCAGTCATGATCATGCAGATCAGTGAAATGACAGAATAACAGAACATTCTGAGTTGGAAGGGGCCCACAAGGACAATTGAATCCAACTCTTAAATTAATGGCCTGATACAGGAATCCAACCCACAACCTTGGCATTATTAGCACCATGCTCTGGCTAACTGAGCTAATTTAAAACTATTTTAAAACAAACCACTTTATACTAAACACACATGATTTTTTTAATCATGCTACAAGAATGAAGCAATCAGCTATAGTGCTCTGTTTCAAATAATTGTTCCAGGAAATTACAGACATGGGTTTGGTATCCATCCACAGATGGATACTATCTATAGATGGAGGTATAGGGTGTGTCTTAAGACTTGTCTTACAGTGAGCATGTGGAATTTTTTCTTATTGCAGCCTACTGGTGTGAGAAAATAGCTGTATGGTTTTTTTCTGCTCCTACAGGAATTGTGGAAGATCATGGCTAACCACCTAACATGACAGACCCACGAGGGAAGAGAAGATCTTTACCTAAGGAGAAGGGCTGTTTTGATGTTCTGTTAAGATAAGGATTTTCATCCCGAGAAAAGCATCTTCCTGGTGGAATTGTGTTCTCAGAAAGTATTGCAATGCAGTTTTGCTTTACTTTTTGTGTTTGGCACCTCATTGCTTGGACTTGTGCACTTGGACATGATTTCTTTGATGTTTCCAAGTACCTGCTGGATGCCAGGTAGTGGCAGTGACTTGCTTTTTGGGATGATGACTTCACTCTTAGAGTTTGGCAAAGAAGAAGAAGAGGTTTGGAAGGTTTGGAAGAACCTTTCCCATGTGGCTGATTTGCATTTCCCTTTTTAGTTTACACAACATGGACACTGTTCTCAGTCTTATCCCAGTTCCACGCATTATTTATATTTATGGACATTTGTGAAACAATGTTCTGGTCAAGGCTTGTTTGTCATTAATGAAATTTGCTTTAAGAAATTTGTTTATGAAACTTGGCCCTTAATTCTCAGTTTGTCCTATACAAATCACTCTAATTTTGGGCCACTGTCTGACTTGAAAGGAAACAAGATGCATTTTGTCTGAGCCTCTAAAAATACTCCACAGAGGTTTTGGAGTACAGGAAGTCAACCCTTTCTTGTCCTGCAGGAATTTTAAGCAATTCTGTCCTGGGCAGGTTGAGGGTGAGAAGGTACCACATGAAGGGAGATGTTGTAGCTTTTGAAATACTTGGAGTTCTACCCTCAGCATATACATGTGAGGCTGAGGGCAGGGAGCTGGCCAAGAATATCTTGCCCAAACAAAAGTGAGCCTCTAATATCTTTCTTCTGGATTAAAATAAAACATATTTATTAAATCTCTCCTGTGTTATTAATGAATCCAAAAATCTGCTTGCACTTTTATAAATGTTATGTGCACTGTTGTTTTTATATCACTTTGCCATATGTACACTGCCATGGGGATCCTTGTGCCCCCTGCATTCCTCAGCACCAGGAGAGTTCAGTGATGGAGCTCTTCCAGCCTGGGACTTGTGGGAGTGTGCAAGAGGTTCATTAGAAGCATCTCATGGACTTCTTGAGAGCCTGTTTCACATTGGTGTAGGTCAGTTATTTCATAACCTGCTTATGTGTCTGAAGACCTATTTTTTGTGTTCTTTAATAGGATGAAAGGTTATTAGATGATGATGGCCATTCCCTGTGAGTACAAAGTAAAAATTACATTATGTTAGCACATATCTGCCTAGATTAATACAAAACTTCTCTCTCAGAACCCTAATTTGAACTTCAAAGATAAAAAACTGTGTTTTAATCCAAAGATTCCCAAACTAATATTTGTTGGTTTGTTATGTAATATTATTAACTTTGGTAGATTCAATTGTTTTTGAATGTAGCTGCTTATTTCAGTAGTGATTTTTGGAAGGCTGTACAAGAATGTACAAGGCTGATGTGAAACAGTGTGATTAGTTAGGGAATCCTGTGGCTTTTTCTCACACAGGATTTCTCAAAGTTTTTGGAATTATCAACAGAAACTCACCTGTAAGTCCTTCATTCCTGTGAAGGAAGAGAAAGTAGGCACTTAATTTAAAACCTATGAATATTTCTGCTCGGCTGGGGAGATTAAATTTTTATTTGGAAAACTGACTTTCATTTTTGCTAAATAAAGTCATCAGGCAATTGGGAGCATTTCTGGATCTCGCTGGCAAATCCAGCAGTCATCCAGATGGATATTTTCTGGAGACAGGAACATAGAGGAAGTGAAGGGGAACCTGTGGAACCCTTGCAGTGCTTAGCTCGGATAAAAGGGAGAAGTGTCCAAATCATGGGAAGTATGGTAATGGATAGACACATGATCTTCCAGTAGGAATCTGGTTTGAAACAAATTATTTTCACTTTTGTCACTGCCACATGATGAAACAAATACCTTTTCTCATTCCCCACCCCTCTCCTGTTTTTATCTCTCTTAAGAGAAACAAAGGTGACACAACTATAGATATTGTTCAGGAGAAGAACTTGAACTTTATATGGCACCCAAATAAGCATTGCAAACTAATTACATTTATTTCTTCTAAATCTTTGTTGATGTCAGACTTGGAGGGTTGCTTCATTTGTTGTGAATGTCTGTGTGTCGTTTTGCAGTAGAAAAAAGTTGAAGACACTCCCTTGATGAGATAGATTCTGTATATTTATCATTGTTGGGTGTTCTCAAGTGTAGGTGGCTATTTGTAGGCCATCCTTGTAGCTCCATCTGCTGTACAACACTTTGAGTCAAAACATTTTACAGTTTGTTCAACACCCTGTTCCCTTCTAGTTTGACAATATTGTATTTTGGAGTAACAGTTTAGGTGGCATGTGTGGTTCTGCACTTCTCACCTAGATTTTCAGATGAAGTTACAGTGGAAATAATCCTGAAAAGAAGGTGGTGTTTAATTGCCTACCTTTTGACAGTAGCTTTGCCTTCAGCAGTTTGGGGTTTTCAGGAGACATTCTGGGAAAAAGTGGATGTACTTTGTGTGTGTGTGTGGTAGGAACTTCTCATTCCTTAGAAGATGAGGACTTAAATTGCATCTCAAAGTTTTATAGCAGATAACTATCATGAGATTGTCTGTTCATTAACTTGACCGTTTGTGGACTTCTACATCCACCACTAGTGCTAGTCCTTTTCCCTTTTAACAGAGAATTAAGGGCTGTGTCCCTGGCAGTTGCATTTCTGGGTTTTGTTTTGTTTGCTTTGTTTTTTCATTCTGATAGACAACATTTTAAAACTTAGAGAAATAATTTTGTCTGAGATTTCTACTTACTGAGCTTATTTTATGTTCCAGTTGTATACTTCCCCCTTTCATAGTGTTGGTTATAGCAATTTTGCAATCTGGATTCTGATGTTTTTGGTTCCCAGGAAACCTAATTGTAAGTGTAGTTTTCCATTGGATCAATGAAACCTAATCCAGCTGACTCCTGTGATCCAGACAGGGCCATCAGTGGGGATCTGCTGCTGGGGCTATAAAGGAGGAGCAGACCAGCTATTTTGATGGCAGTGGATATCTGTATTCACATTGGAGTTTCCCAGGAAACCTAATTGTAAGTGTAGTTTTCCATTGGATCAATGAAACCTAATCCAGCTGACTCCTGTGATCCAGACAGGGGATCTGCTGCTGGGGGTATAAAGGAGGAGCAGACCAGCTATTTAGATGGCAGTGGATATCTGTATTCACATTGGAGTTATGTGTAACTGTGCTCCAATGTGCAGGGCAGGGTGTGTTAGCAAAGCTGACTTTCCTCAGTCCTGTGCCTGAAACCACATTACCCAGAGTCAGACTGCCACGAGTGTGACAGCCAAATGCTGCTGGTGGATTTAAAGACAGTTACTGGTGCTGACTGTTGGGTACAGGAAACTGAAGACTTTCTGAAAAGTGGGTGCTGCATTCCTGTCTGCTTGTTATGGCACGGCAAGGAAAGCTGCCTGTCTCATAAGACAGGCAGAGATTTTTCAATCTGCAAGTAAATTGAGAATTATTCACTTAATGCTCAGTAACTTGTCTTTAAAATGCATTTCACCTCCTGAGTGTTATCATGGCATTTGTAAGCTGAACCCTTTGGAGGTTCAAGTGAAGCAGGATTTGAAAATGAGCCACTTCTTGCTGCCAGGCTGTCATGCATAGGTCAAGAGGTTTGTGGTTTTTACAGACTCATCTTGACCCCGACCTTCTGTGTGTCCTTTGCATCTGTGCTGGAAGTTGATGCATTAACAGAATAAAGCTTCCTCTTGAGAAATAACTGGCTCCTCATGCTGCCAGCAGTGCAGTCAGCTGTGTCAGTACAGCACATCGCCACATTGCCTTGGAGAAAGTTTCCCCCAGCAGATGGCACATGGAATGTCTTTAACAATACCAACACCTAAAAACCGTAACAAAATATCTATATATATATATGTGTGTGTGTGTGTGTGTGTGTGTTTATTAACACATTGCCCAGGCCAGCCCCACTGGTGTGAGCAAGAAGAGATGCAAAGGAACATCTTGTGAACAGCTTGTGAGCAAGCTGAGTGCATTCTTTAAGCTTTTTGAGCAAATATTCAAAAGGGATACTCGTTGGATAGTAAGATAGGAAAGATGTTAGTAATTAGAAGTAACATAATTTCTGCCTCAAAGTTAAGTAAAGATACATATAATAAATTAGGCAAGAAAGTTGATGGGGAGTTGGGCAGAAGATAGCATGAAAAAAGTAAAGTTTACTGCTCTGTTCTTGTCCTGTGGGATATCAGTAGCAGGTTTTTACATTGTAGGATGATCAGAAGGGGCACCAAGAAATTATCTGTTCTGTATTCCTCTCAAAGCAGAATCATATTAATCTGAGAATCTTGATAAGTGTTTACTATCAAAGGCTCTCTTCATAGAGATCCTGTAATCTGTTCTAGTGCTTCCTTGTCCTTTATGATACAAGTGGCTTACTGCCATCTGAACAGCTCAACTGCCGCCTCTCTTGTGATTTTAGACCATTAAATCTTTCTTACTGGAACAGACTGACAGACATAAGGGTTCTGGGCAGGGTAAGTGGAAATGAGGAGGCGTAGATGGCCTAGCCTCCAGTGGTGTGTGCAGGGACAGAAGGATCCTGTAACACCCTCTGCAAACTGATGGTGCTGCGGCACATAAGAGCAGCTCTGGCCTCTGGGAGCCTGCAGCATTCCTGCCTTGCTTGGGTCCTCTCCATCTCTCCTGTCTGATGGCCTTCAGCCACAAAAGCTGCTTCAGGATAGTCCCTGGAGCCTCCCACGGAGGTCCTGGAGGGCTGGGCAGGCTCTGACAGCTCCCCTCTCTGGTGTGCATCCCTGATGGGTCCCAGCTCTGAGAAGTCCCTGGATGGGAAGAGGGTGCCCGTGTGCTGCTCGCAGGAGAGGGACGGAGGTGTGCATTTCTCTCATTGGCCTTCTGTAGCCAGGTCTGAGGTTCTGAAGAAAACCAAGGCTGTGAATGAGACATGAGTTCCGTAAGATGAGAGTCCAGACAGGGTTCAACATTCTTGCCATAGATTCTGTGGATGAGATAGATAATAACCTTTATTATGGGCTGGAGATTCAAGGGCAGCTTTGTGCCTGCAAATACCACCTTGCTGTAGCAGAACCAAGCAGCAGCTGAGCAGAATGTCTCGTATAGGATTTGAGCTGCTTCAGTCCACTACTGTCCACAACAAAAACGGGTTTTTTCTAGGTCAGGCTTAAATGCTGGCAAAAATTTGGTTTTAAATTTGGAATTTGACATCACGCTAGGTTTAATTTGAACTTCTAATCAGAGCTAGAAGACCAAAAGACTTTCTCAATTGCTGCCTTTCCTAAATTACGTATGTCCCAAGTGGCAGCAGGTAAACACGAGGCAATAAGGGCAGGACAGTGGGTCTTTGTGGAGCTGTAACAGTGCAGGCAGGGATTGGCTTCGCGGGTAGGAAAGAGGCTCGGGTGCACGATGGATGGAGGAAACAGGCACTGCTGCCCTTGCCGCGGTGGCCACGGAGCAGGGGCGCGGGGCAGGCTGAGAAGAGGCGGCGGGCAGGCGGGGGGCAGGCGGACAGTCGGAGGGGAGGCGGAGAGGCGGGTGGCAGGCAGAGGGCAAGTGGGCAGGCGGAGGGGAAGCGGGCAGGCGGGCGGCAGGCGAGGGGGAGGCGGAGGGCAGGCAGAGAGCAGGCGGGCAGCCCTTGCTGAGGGGCACGGCCACCCCGGCCCGCCCCGCCGGACCCGACTCCCCGGGGACGCTGGGGACCGCGGAGCGCTGCGGGGTTCGTCGTTCCCCGCGCGTTGGGAGGCGGGTTTGGGATGCTCAGTGTGTGCCCCACGGCGCCGGGTGGGCCCGGCACGGAGCCCGTGAGGGGAG